TTTACCAAATATTTTCTGAGCTCCTATAATGTGCTAGACACTGAGTGTGGCAGTGCAAACATAAAGATCTAGTAAATCCCAGCTGTCCCAATCTAGTGATTACAACCTAGTGAAAGGTAGAAAAATAAATAAGTTAAATAAAATACTTACATCATCAAAGGCTTTGGACTGTATATAGTTGAAATATGGAAATTCTTTGAAAATACTTCTAAATTTTGCCGCTTACAATAACATTAAGGAGTCAAATATTTCACAATTTAAAAAATTGGTTACTTTTAATTTTAAAATTCAGTTACATTAATATTGATTCTGACAACATTTAATGATGAGGTTTTAGCATTTGCTATCTGGCATCTTAAGAAAAGAATTATCATAAATTATTCTAGTCTCCAGTCACATTCTGTATTCTGAAAAGAACTTGCAAAGTTCCTATAGGGAAATAAGAGATTATATAAGGGTTATACTTGAGTGCTAAATATGATGGAAGAGATGCAAGTACATAATGGCAAGTAAATCAGAACTATACTTCTAGTTTATTTTTTCCAGAGTAGTGCTTTTTCTTATTTACCTTGACAAGGCCACTTGATTTTTATCTCTTCTTTAATGTACAGAATTTCACTCAACTATTTCATTAAGCATTGATTGTTCTTCATTAGCTGATGTGTTTCTGGTTACCTAATAGTAAATCTCTTTGTTTTTGATAATTTAGTTGTGTTAAGTGGTGGGTTTAATTGTAATTATCAACATACTGGCTTGGAAGGAAGAACTTAAATCATCCTTCCCCTACAAGAAAGTTCAAAAATATCAATAGATATGAATAATAAACTGTGCCCTCTCCAAGGTGAGGGTCTATTGACAGATTGGGAGATATCTGTATTTACATGGTATTCTTCTTACAATATATCAACTACAGTCATTCAACACTATATACAGAATACATTAATAGACTTAGAAAGCTGTGGGAAGCTGTAAATAAAGAAGAAAATGAGTTCCTACAATTGAGACTGTTATAATCTATTAGAAGATATAAGATAGTTAAGAACATATCTGAGAACACAAGTACACAGTTATTTAAACAACTGGATTTTTATAAAGATATACAAGAACTGATGGATTGCTATAGTGATCCTGTTTAAACTTAGATCATATCACTTCTCTGATCAAATCCTCCCTTTCTCTCAAAGTATAGGGGTATAAGGCTCTACATGACCTTGTCTCCCCACTGCCACTCCCTCCCCACATCAGCCCCTGCCTTTATCTCTCTGACTTCATGTCCTACTACTCTTTCCCCCGACTCATCTCCTCTAGCTATACTGAACTCTGCTGTTCTTCAAAAACATCAGCCATGTTCCTGCCACGAGGCTTTCCACTGCCTAGACTGTTCCTCCCTCCATATTTCCTTGGCTCCTTTCCCTCCATTAAGTGCTTACATCTGACCTTCTCAAGGTCTACCCTAAGTACTGTTTAATTCTATACCCTAAGCCACGAATCCCAGTAGTCCCAATTTAACCCCCTTACTCTGCTCTACTTTTTTCTTTTCCCATAATAGTCACCATTTTCTAAAAAACTCTATGACTTATGTATATGTTGTTACAGTTGTTGAGATATAGCTTCTTTCCCACCCTCATCCCAAGAATTATATCTCCTCAAAAGCAAGGATTCATTGTCTGTTTTCTTAAGTAACATATCCCACATACCTAGAACAGTGCCTGACACATAGTACTCAGTTAATATAGGTTTGCAATTATTACATCAAGCAGTTAATTTATAAATCCTCATTTTACTTTCTGGTGTGCAAAGTGTCATATCTGTGCCAAACAAAAACGTAATTTTGAATTTGAAAATCCATAAGCTTTAGAAGGAATCTCATTTTTCCTTCAAAACATGTCTCTTACTATCAAATATTTATTTGCAACAAGCCCATGAGTGGGCCATCATGTTGGTTTTTCTCTGATTAGATAGCTCCATATCAATTTATATTCACAAAAATGAATCTTTGATTCAGAGTAGATACAGAATCAGTGTTTCAGCTCATAAGAAAACTCAACTGCTAACATCATTTATCATCACTATCAACAACTGAAATCAATTTTTTCCTTACATTCAATAAACTCTCAGCAGTGTCACTGAAATTACGGGGAAAATGTCTGCAGAACTGAAAATGACAAGACTACTGTGGTAGGATCAATCTGAGAAAACTTTTATTGCCCTGAGGATTCAAATGTAGTAAAATATTTAAAGAGAATAAGAAAATAAAGTGTGTCCAAGTAATCTACGAACTCTCAAATTATCACAAATAGCATTCAGTCTTCCACTTTAAATACACACTTGGAAACAAGGTATAGGACAATGAGTTTTATACAAAATGAACTTTTTAGACAATAAATCAGTGGACACACGTGTAAGCAGTAGTCCTAACTAATAAAGACCCCTAAACAACAGAACCATTTCAGCTGTGCTAATATAGCATAAAGACCCTCAAAGCTCTTTAAAAGCCAGTGTCATATGGAAAGACTTTACAGTAAGGGATAAGGAGAATCAGCCATTGTACAGATAATTAAACATCTTTAACAGCTTACTGCTAACATATTTCCTATGTTTCCATCCTATTTTGGTCACCAGAGGAAAGAAAGTGTGGCAGCATTGAGACACCATGCTGAATAAAGTGCTAAACACTGGCTCTGTTTATAGTTACTGTATCAACATGTATAACCCTCTTATTGATCCCTCTCCCTCATTTTTACTCAAATCAGCTATCTGCATTGGAGACGACTTTTCATGAGAAGTCAGGCAAATATTTTCTAACCATACTTCAGAATTATCTCAGATGATCCCTGGAGTACCCAAGATTACTTATTGTTGCTACATTTCTCTAGCACAGCTATGCAATATCCGGAATTCATTTTTCATTTTGTCAACTAGACCTTAACTTTTGTGGATGCTAGAACACTCCCAAGCATTGAGTCACTAATTATATATTCCTAAAGCATAGTTTTAATGATGATATTTGACATGTTCAAAAATATTACATGGTTTCTCCTTATTACAGAGATTGTAAGTATTTTCACCACAAAAAAGAAATAACTGTGAAAGGTGATAGATACATTAATTAGCCTGATTGTGGTAATTATTTTTGCAATGTTTATATATATAAAAAAATCATGTCATACTCCTTAAACATATACCATTTTTATTTGTCAATTATACCTCAACAAAGTTGGGGAAAAAATAAAAAACAAAAATAAAATAAAAAACCCTTTGACCTTGGTATTCATAACATTTTATGATATGATCCTAAGATAACTATCTAATATTTCTTATTACTTCTTTAATCATATCTTTCCCTTCAGCCAAACTGGAAAGCTTATTCTTTCCAAACATATTTCATACTTTTTTATCTTCACCCTTGCTTATGTCTATACTTTTGCCAGAACAATTTCCTTACTTTACCTGCCTTACTTTATCTGCCTTTCAATGTATTTGGAAGTAGGCAGGTAAGTAAGTTAAGTCATGATCCTTGCATTCAAAGAGTTCATAGATCATGAGGAAATGGTCACATAAACTGCTGGTGAATTAAAACAGAATAAATGCACTATTATAGGCATACACAGGGTATTAAAGAAGCAAAGACAATGTTACCTCCAGAACACACATACTCAAAATATTTACACTGGAAATGTTCAGACTTGAAACTTGGATTCTATGTATAAACTTCACATTAGATATTCAAAAACACTAGATCTGTAGAAATGTCCCTAATCCACACAATGTCCCATTTTCGCCCATTTCCCCTGCCCAGTTCAACCCAATTTGGCTGCTCTTTCTCAAAAGATGAGAAATTATCTGTACCTATTTGTAAGTAAATATGCTCAAAGTTCTGCCAATAATACAAATCTGACTTCTGTACTTCACTTGTCATAAACTGATAACAAACAGTTCACAAATTGAAACCAGTCTGTAATCACACCTTGAGTAGCACTATCGCACACATACTTTTTTTTTTTTTTTTGAGATGGAGTCTCGCGCTTTTCCCAGGCTGGAATGCAGTGGCACAATCTCGGCTCACTGCAACCTCCACCTCCCGGGTTCAAGAGATTCTCCTGCCTCAGCCTCCTGAGTAGCTGGGATTACAGGTGCACACCACCATGCCCAGCTAATTTTTTATATTTTTAGTAGAGATGAGGTTTCACCATGTTGGTCAGGCTGGTCTCAAACTCCTGACCTCGTGATCTGCCTTTGTCGGCCTCCCAAAGTGCTGGAATTACAGGGGTGAACCACCGCACCCGGCCCCATGTACCTCTTACATCACCAAAAAGATTAACTTTTCCGTCTTTTTCTCCATCAATCAAAATAAACAAACAGAAACACAATTAAACAAAATATTTTAAAATTACGATTTAATAAATACAAAGCAGCTATTGTAAATAACTTAAAGGATACGAATTTCTGTGACAGCCTTCAAGGAACCTAAACAATTTTCTGTTACCTCTGGAAAAAAAAAAAAAACCTACATATTTATATAAATATTTAAAAAATTTTAATGGTCAGCAGCTATGACCTGAAATGAATATTTTTATCCTTTCCATAAAAACTGTTTCAATAAAACTAACACAACTTTTTATTGAGAACAAGGTTAAAAATATTTTTAGCATACCGGATAAAAAATTTTAACACACAGCCCAGCTTAGAAAATAATGCAACATAATAAAAAAAACTGCAGTAATTGCACAGAGAGATAATCTACTCACATTTACTATATTTTTACATTTTCCCCTATGCTGAGAAATGCAGATTAGTCTGTACTCATAAAATGAACTGAAAAAGCAAGAAATTACCTTGAATATCGTGAGGCTGGAAAGCAACTGGAAAAGATGGTGCTTTGAACATGCCTTCTTTGATTTCAGAAGCAGAAAAAGCATTATTTGCTGTAAACACATTTGCAGAATATTGAAATTTCTGCTTACTACTGCTATAGTTCCTTGATTTCCCTTTGTTCATTTCTGTTTGTACAATTTTCACGGAGCCAATGTGAGAGTCCAATTCACTGACATTGGAATAAGCACTCCCATGTATATTGTCAGATATTTTAAATAATCTGCAAAAAAAAAAAAGACCTGCATATTTTCTCACTTGTAACACTTACTTGGAACATGAAAAACTAGCATAAAATTGGCCCCTTTAAAAACATTCATAGATTATGGTTTACTCAAACAAAAAAGCTAAACATTCTCCTAAAATATAACTTGCTAAGTTTACCACCGAAGTATGTCTACTTTCCTAAAACTTTTGGAGGCTGTGGTAGCCAGCCTCCAAAAACGGCCCCAAAGATCCTTGCCTGCTCCTCACCCCTTTGCAATCTCCTACAAATTGAATCGCGGAATCAGGACTGGCCTGTCTAACTAGCAGAGTACTGTGGAAGTGCAAATGTTTGACTTACAAGGCTAGGTAATGAAACATATTGCCCCTTTCCCCATGGTCTCTTAGATCTCTCACTCTGTGGAGAGCTAGTCACAATACAAAGAGAGCACTCAAGCAACCCTATGAAGGGGCCAGGTGGACAGGTACTGAGGTCTCCTGTCAACAACCAGCACTGACTCTTCAGTCAAGGACACCAAGCCACCTTGGAGACCTGATAGCTCCTGTCAAGCTTTCAGATGACTGCAGCATGTCTAACATTTTGATTGTGGCCTTCTTATGAGAGGCCCCCAATATCTTTACGCATTCTCACAAGAGAGCCTAAGCCAGAACTACTAGCTAAGTTATTCCTAAATTCCTAACCTGTAGAAAATGTGAGAGATAATAATGTTTACTGTTGTTTTAAACTAGTAAATTTTGGGATAATTTTATTACACAACAACAGATAACTAATATTCCATTTAAAGTCAGTAAAGTGCTTAAGAGAGAAAAAGTCACTAGATATAGTCACAGTAAATAGTAAATTTTGTAACACCTAATAGTAGTTAAATTTAACTGAAGTGATTCAAGCTACTCAAATACATTAACATATTAAATTTATAGGAATAAATTAACAGACTTGTTATGAATTAAAAGTTGTCAGCAACTGCATTTCACGCCACAGAAGCTACCAGATAAGACAGTTTTCCTAGCCAATCAAATCAGCACTGTGTACCCCCCAAAAAAGGAAAAGATGTAAACTAAGTATATCAGCAGATTAAATCATCCCAAACTCTATATCCAATAACCACTTCAGTGTAAGAACTACTTCTATGCAAAGTTCTAAAAACAAGGAAACACTTTATCTTTATGACTGTACTGTATTACATTTGATCAAAAGACAATCTATCAAAGTAACTTGTTCACAATATTCCTAAGGGATGAAGTAACCATTAAGGTTCCTGATAAAACACTCACATCTTATAGAATAAGTAATGGAGATGACTTATCCATTCAGGGCTGAAGATCAAGTTTAATTAGCAACGGCCAGTGATTTCATCAATCTTGTCTATGAAATGGACCCTCCATTAAAACGCCTAAACAACAGGGTTCTGAGAGCTTCTGGAATGGTGAACACATCAAGCTGCTGACAGAGTGACATGCTCAGAGAAGTTATGGGAACTCTGTACTCCCTCCCTCATATTTTGCCATATGTATCTCTTTCATCTGGAGTTGTACCCTTTATAATAAGCTGGTAAATGTAAGTAAAGTGTTTCCCTTAGGTCTCTGAGTCATTCTAGCAAATTATTAAACCCAATATGGGGTCATGGAAGCCTCAAATTTGTAGTTGGCCAGACAGAAATGTGGGCAGCCTGGGAATCTCATTTTCAGCTGGAATTCAAAGTGGGGTCAGTCTTATAGAACTAAGCCTTCAACCTGTGGGGTCTGACGCTAATTCCAGGAGTTAAGTGTCAACTTGGTTAGATGCCAAGTTGGTGTCAGAGAATCAGTTGGTGTCAGTCAACACCCAGTCTTTACATTTATGGTCAGCTGATTTCCAATGACAGTGCCATAACATTCAGTAGGGAAAGAACAGTCTTTTCAACAAATGAGGCTAGAACGACTGAATATCTACATGCAAAAAGAATGAGGATGGACTCCTACTTTACACAAATATTTAAAATATTAAATGACAGATCACAGACATAAATGTAAGAGCTAAAAACTCTGAAACTCTTAGAAGAAAACTTGAGTAAATCTTCATGACCTTGAATCAGGCAATAGTTTCTTAGATATGACACCAAAAACATAAGCAACCAAAGTAACACCAAATAAGTATTACATCAAAACAAAAGCATAAGCATAAAAGAAAAATTAGATAAACTGGACTCTATCAAAATTTAAAACTTGTGCTGCAAAGAACACCATCAAAAAACTGAAAACCCACAGAATAGGGGGAAATATCTGCAAATCATACAGATGATAAGAGACTTTGAGAATAAAGAACTCTTAAAACTCAACAATTAAAAGACAAATAGCCCAATTAAAATATGGACAAAGGACCTGAATAAGACATTACTCCAAAGAAGACATACAAATGGCTGATAAGCACATGAAAAGATTATTAACATTATTGCTATAGACTGGATATTAATGTCCCTCCCTCCAAATTTATTTGTTGAGGCTCTAATCCCCAATGTTTTTTGTTGTTGTTGTTCTTGTTGTTGTTGTTTTGAGATGGAGTCTCACTCTGTCACCCAGGCTACAGTGCAGTGGCACGATCTCGGCTCACTGCAACCTCTGCCTCCCGGGTTCAAGCAATTCTCCTGCCTCAGCTTCTTGAGTAGCTGGGATTACAGGCATCCACCACCATGCCTGGCTAATTTTTGTATTTTTAGTAGAGACGGGGTTTTACAATGTTGGTCAGGCTGGTCTCGAACTCCTGACCTTGTGATCTGCCCGTCTCAGCCTCCCAATGTTATGGTATTTAGAGGTAGGGCCTTTAGAAGGTAACTGGGTTTAGATGAGGTCATGACAGTACCTCTCCATGATGGAATTAATGCCCTTATAAAAAAAGGATGAAACATGAGCTCTCTCTGTTTATACACAAACCAAAGAAAAACCATGGGAGAAAATAACTAGGAAGAGGGTCCTCATCAATAACCCAACCATGCTGGCACTCTGATTTCTGACTTCCGGCCTCCAGAATCGTGTAAACAAATGTTTGTTATTTACACCACCCAATCTATAGTATTTCATTATAGCAGACCAAAATAACTAGGACAATTAGTCATTACGAAAATGCACATCAATACCACAATGAGATACCTCTTCACACACCCAGTAGGATGGCTGTAATACAAAAGACAGACCATAACAAGTGCTGGCCAGAATGTGGAGAAACTGGAATCCTCAAATATTGCTGAATGGGACTGTAAAGTGATGCAGCCACTTTGGAAAACAATTTGGCAGTTCCTCAGAAAAGCTAAATATAATGTTACCATATGACCCAGCAATTCTACTTCTGAGTTTATATCCAAAGAACCGCAAACACACATTCACACAAAAACTTGCATGCATTTTCATAGCAATATTATTCACAATAGACAAAAAGTTAAAACAACCCAAATGTCCATCAACTGATAAGTGAATAAACAAAATGTGGTATATCCACTTAATGGACTATTATTTGGCCATTAAAAAAAATGAAATACTGGCTGAGCGTGCTGGCTTACACCTGTAATCCCAACACTGGGAGGCCGAGGAGGGCAGATCATGCGGTCAGGAGATGAAGACCATCCTGGCCAACATGGTGAAAACCTATCTCTACTAAAAATACAAAAATTAGCCAGGCATGGTGGTGCACACCTGTAGCTCTAGCTACTTGGGAGGCTGAGGCAGGAGAATTGCCTGAACCTGGGAGGCAGAGGCTGCAGCAAACCAAGATTGCACTACTGCACTCCAGACTGGTGAGAGAGCGAGACTCCAAAAAAAAAAAAAAAAAAAAAATAGGAAGGAAGGAAGGAAGGAAAGAAGGGAGGGAGGGAGGAAGGAAAGAAGGAAAGGAGGAAGGGAAGGAAAGAAAGACTAATACATAACACAACATGCATGAACCTTAAAAATGTTAAATGCAGCCCTTCATGCTACAAACTCTCAATAAACTAGGAATTGATGGGACATATCTCAAAATAAAAACAGCTATTTATGACAAACCCACAGCCAATATCATACTGATGGGCAAAAAATGGAAGCATTCCCTTTGAAAACCGGCACAAGATAGGGACGCCCTCTCTCACCACTCCTATTCAACATACTGTTGGAAGTTCTGGCCAGGACAATCAGGCAAGAGAAAGAAATAAAGGGTATTCAATTAGGAAAAGATGAAGTCAAACTGTCCCTGTTTGCAGATGACATGATTGTATATTTAGAAAACCCCATCCTTTCAGCCCAAAATCTCCTTAAGCTGATAAGAAACTTCAGCAAAGTCTCAGGATACAAAATCAACGTGCAAAAATCACAAGCATTCCTGTACACCAATAACAGACAAACGGAGAGCCAAATCATGAGTGAACTCCCATTCACGGTTGCTTCAAATAGAATAAAATACCTAGGAATCCAAGTTAAAGGGATGTGAAGAACCTCTTCAAGGAGAACTACAAACCACTGCTCAACGAAATAAAAGAGGACACAAACAAATGGAAGAACATTCCATGCTCATGGATAGGTAGAATCAATATTGTGAAAATGGCCATATTGCCCAAAGTAATTTATAGATTCAATGCCATTCCCATCAAGTTACCATGACTTTCTTCACAGAATTGGAAAAAAACTACTTTGAAGTTCATATGGAACCAAAAAAGAGCCTGCACTGCCAAGACAATCCTAAGCAAAAAGAACAAAGCTGGAGGCATCACACTACCTGACTTCAAACTATACTACAAGGCTACAGTAACCAAAACAGCATGGTACTGGTATCAAAACAGACATATAGACCAATGGAACAAAACAGAGCCCTCAGAAGTAATACCACACATCTACAACCATCTGATCTTTGACAAACCTGACAAAAACAAGAAATGGGGAAATGATTCCCTATTTAACAAATGGTGCTGGGAAAACTGACTAGCCATATGTAGAAAACTGAAACTGGATCCCTTCCTTAGCCCTTGTACAAAAATTAATTCAGGATGGATTAAAGACTTAAATGTTAGACTAAAACTATAAAAACCCTAGAAGAAAATCTAGGCAATACCATTCAGGACATAGGCAAGGGCAAGGATTTCATGACTTCAAAACACCAAAAGCAATGGCAACAAAAGCCAAAATAAACAAATGGGATCTAATTAAACTAAAGAGCTTCTGCACAGCAAAAGAAACTACCAGCAGAGTGAACAGGCAACCAATGGGAGAAAAATTTTGCAATCTACCCATCTGACAAAGGGCTAATATCCAGAAGCTACAAATAACTTAAACAAATTTACAAGAAAAAATCAAATGACCCCATTAAAAAGTAGGTGAAGGATATGAACAGACACTTCTCAAAAGAAGACATTTATGCAGCCAACAGACACATGAAAAAATGCTCATCATCACTCGCCATCAGAGAAATGCAAATCAAAACCACAATGAGATACCATCTCACACCAGTTAGAATGGCAATCATCAAAAAATCAGGAAACAACAGGTGCTGGAGAGGATGTGGAGAAATAGGAACACTTTTACACTGTCGTTGGGAGTGTAAGCTAGTTCAACCACTGTGGAAGACAGTGTGGCGATTCCTCAAGGATCTAGAACTAAAAATACCATTTGATCCAGCAATCCCATTACTGGGTATATACCCAAAGGATTATAAATCATGCTACTATAAAGACACATGCACACGTATGTTTATTGTGGCACTATTTGCAATAGCAAAGACTTGGAACCAACCCAAATGTCCATCAATGATAGACTGAATTAAGAAAATGTGGCACATATACACCATAGAATACTATGCAGCCGTAAAAAAGGATGAGTTTTTGTCCTTTGTAGGGACATGGATGCAGCTGGAAACCATCATTCTTAGCAAACTATCACAAGAACAGAAAACCAAACACCGCATGTTCTCACTCATAGGTAGGAACTGAAAAATGAGAACACTTGGACACAGGGTGAGGAACATTACACACCAGGATCTGTCATGGGGTGGGGGCTGGGGGAGGGATAGCATTAGGAGATATACCTAATGCAAATGATGAGTTAATGGGTGCAGCACACCAACCTGGCACGTGTATACATATGTAACAAACCTGCACATTGTGCACATGTACCCTAGAACTTAAAGTAAAATAAAGAAAAGAAAAATATTCACCTCCAAAAAAAAAAGTTATGTTAAGTGAAGGAGGCCAGGCACAAATGGCCATATTTTGTATAATTCCACTTATATGAAATGTTTAGAATAGGTAAATCCATAGAGATGATAGAGACAGAAAGTAGATTAGTGGTCACCAGGTGCTGTGGAAGGGAGGAATGAAGAGTAACTGTTAATTAGTAAGGAATTTATTTTGCAGGAGACAAAAATGTTTTAAAATTAGTTAATAGTGATGGTTGCAAAACTATGTATTATAAAAACCAATGTGGGTAAATACATAAGAATGAAAAAAATAAGAAAATAATTCTACACTTCAAAAAGGTGAATTTATCGTATGTGAATTATATCTTAATAAAGCTGTTATTACAAACATTACAGAGATCAACCTTAGCTGGACCCTTTACAGTGTCCATCAATCCTACCATTATTCTAATTAGACTGCTTTCCCATTCTCCATAATTTATTCCACTCTTCCCATTCTTGCTCAGTACTCTCACTTTTCCCCTCAAATTCCACAGATAACCACATCTCCTACGTCAGAGAAAACAAAAACAATCAACTAAACTTCTTCTGTATCTTGAATCCATATACCCAATTGAATATCTGGACTATTTATAAATATCTAAAATCAACATGGCCATATCTGTACTCATCACCTTCCCCCGAACCTGTTCTAACTTTATAGTTCTTTAAATTAAAAAAAGGCACTACCAATCTTCATCATTCTGGCTCAAACTGAAAACCTAGGAGTCAGATCTCATATCCAATAATCACTTAAGTCCTGTGGGACTGTATCTCCTAAATCATTCTGGATTGTCTCCATTCCTGATACCACTGTCCTAGGTCTGGCTACCATTTTCTCCCATCTAGACTAATAAGACAATCTTTCTAGTGGACCTTCACAATTTATTTTAACTCCCTTCTATTATAATTTATGCTCCATACTGGGGTCAAAATGAACCCTTAAAGAAAAGAAAACCTAATTTCACTCCTCTGTTTAAAACCCCAGGCATTAGGAAAATGGGTCTCAAACTTTTGTGTGCATAATAATCATCTAGAAAATTTGTTCAAAATGAAGATTCCTGTGTCCCACCTGGACTGTTGTGGTACTATTTGTAGTAGATAGTTAAATATTACAATTATGGTTATTTTCATGTGTAGGACAAGGACTATGACACCAGGAATGCAGAAAGTAAGGAATTATTTAGGAGATAGAATTTTGCTGTTTTTCTCATTCACATTCTACCATATTTAATACTTTTAGACGTACAAATATTCAAATTTATTCACAGAATATTATTTCATTTAATTATAATAATTACCTTTTCCGGAACGCTGATGTGCTCTCTCCTTTATCTTCTGCAAAATTAACTAATTTTGTATCATCAGGAACGCTCTTCTCAGGTGCTATCTCAGTGCCAATGTGATTTTTATATTTCTGAGAACCATATGTCGGCTTGCCAGCAACATGTGATAAGTCATTTTTACCTACCCCTTCTAAATTTAGATCATCCTGTTCATATTTATCAGAAGGAAAGGCAAATTGGAATTTTTGTTTTGGTGAAATATAATTCGTGTCTTCATTAGTAATCTTTAAATTTGATGTTAACATTTTTGGCCTCTTTTCCTGACCTACAAAAAAGGAATATATTAATTATTACGCATTCTCCATTGAAGAAAACTTTCAAGATGATGATGAAAAACTTTAATAAAAATTCCAAGTTAAATATGAAAGCCAAAAGCAAAGCACTAATAATAAGATAATCTGTAATACCATATACAGTTTTAAAATACAGGTGATTGTTACACTTATGGTATATTACATCATTAAAAGACACTCAGAAATTAATATGGAATTACTGAATTAAATTTGAAGTTTATATGGCACCTGCATTATAAAATAGGTTTAATTTCTTTCTGACCCATAACAAATTATACAATTATATAATTATGAAGATTTACAATTTATATAAATGATTTACACACAGAAATACAATGACCAATTATATACAATGTTACCAAACACAATTCATTATTAACGTATCTAATGCTTTTAAGTTTGTTATCTTGCTTCTAAAATCAAAATAAAGGAATGTTTTCATAAGAGTGACCGAATTTTAAAGGTTTCTTTAGAGGCTTTACAAGAATTTTTAGGGAAGTTTAGGGGGAATATGGACATCTTACTAGAACTTAAATTTGCTTTAGCATCTATGTATCTACATTGTACTCTATGCTATATATTATTTGATGTAAGTATATATATAACATATACATAAATTATGAAGCTTAATAAAATGTATGTGCTTGAACATACAACCCAATTTAAAAATTAAAATTTTACTAATATTACATTATGTCACATACAGTGTTTGAATGTGCTTGTTTTTGAGCTTTCTAAAAATGGTATCACACTATATTTAACCTTCTGCATCTCCCTTTTTTCACTCAATATTTCTGGTATCTGGTTACCAGGCGATCTTACCTTTAGTAAATGGCAAGGCAAACTGAACAGCAGTGATAGGAGTTTTAATAGTCACAGAAAAAACATTCATAAAACAAAAATCAAAATGTGTGTGTAACAGTGTATTGTGTGCATTTATGTATGCATATGTATGTGTATTACATGCATAGAGAAGAAAAATGTTTTAAATTTTAAGATTTGGTGGGCATTATTTTGTTTTGGGGGGTATGTATGTATTTAGAGATAAGGGGGGTCTGTTTTTTTGTTTATTTATTTAGAGATAGGGTCTCACTATGTTGCCCAGGCTGGAGTGCAGTGGCTATTCACAGTCTCCCAAGTAGCTGGGACCTGTAGCTCACCAGCTTGGTGAGCACTCTTTTTAATAACAGAAGGATCCAATTTTCATTTTATTTCATTAAAATAAGGAAATTTTCATTGTTTGCATAATAAAGACACATATTTGGGGGGATATCTGATATTTTGATACACGCACACACAATGTGTAATGATCAAATCAGAGTTTTAAAAAAAATATTGTCATGAACTGTATGGGTTTGGCTTCACAACAAATAAGTGATAATTTACCCAACAGTTTATTACTTTCTTTTTTTTTTGAGACGGAGTCTCCCTCTATTGCCCAGGATAGACTGCAGTGGCACAAACTCAGCTCACTGCACCCTCCGCCTCCTGGGTTCAAGCCATTCTCCTGCTTCAGCCTCCTGAGTAGCTGGGACTATAGGCACACACCACCATGCCCAGCTAGGTTTTTTTTTTTTTTTTTTTTTGTACTTTTAGTAGAGATGGGGTTTCACCATATTGGCTAGGCTGGTCTCAAACTCCTGACCTCGTGATCTGCCCACCTCGGCCACCAAGACTTTCTAATTCTTCCTCTAACTCCTGAATATCTGAAATTTCTGAAATCAATACCCAATATGACCATACATATTTTGGGGGCATATGCAATATTCTGATACACACATACACAATGTGTAACAATCAAATCAGGGCTTTAAAATAAATATTGCCATGAACTATATGGGTTTGGCTTCAAAACAAATATGTGATAATTTACCTAACAGTTTATGAATTTCTAATTCTTCCTCTAATTCCTGAGTATCTGGAATTTCTGAAATCAATGGAGCAGGAGGGAGAAACCAATCCAATGACTTTTCATTATCTGGATGGCTATATAAAATATAAAAATGTGAGTATATATGTTAATAAACATATAACATGAGAAGCTATGTATTTATTAAACATTACTCAATTATAGACTCTTAAACATCCTATAAATTAACTTTCTGTCAGCACTTTGATTTATCCCTACATAGCAGTGTTCTCAACCTTTTACCCTTATGTATCATAGGATTAATGAAACCGCTGTGTGAGATATGCTACCTAAATAACGGCAATAACTCTATATCCTTTTCTCCAATTCAAATGCCAGTAACAGGAATCTTATATCTGCTCCAATATAAAAACAAAGTAGTAAATCATACTCAAACTTTAGCATTTTAACTATTACAAGTAACCAACTACTTGACATATCTCACAACTAATCACGGGTCATCAATGTGTAAATGACACCATTACTGATATTCCAGAGCTGGGATCCCCAGTGCCTGGGCTGTAGACTGATACTGGCCTGTTAGGAACCTGGCTGCAAAGCAGGAGATGAGCAGCAGGCAACTGAGCATTACTGCCTGAGCTCCGACTCCTGTCAGATCAGCAACAGCATTAGATTCTCACAGGAGTGCGAGCCCTATTGTGAACTGCACATCAGAGGGCTCTACGTTGCATGCTCTTTATGAGAATCTAATGCCTGATGATCTGAGGTGGAACAGTTTCATCCTGAAACTATCTGTGGAAAAACTGTCTGCAAATTCAGTCCCTGGTGCCAAAAAGGTTGGGGACCGTTATTCTAGAGTATTCCTATAATATTATTACAAATTAATGTCCTAACCTAAATATTCTTAGTCCAGAACCATCTACAAACTACAGAAAAATCCAAGAAATCATTTGAAACTGACAATCTCTTTATAACCTATAGTAATTGATATTTTTGCCACCCTGTTGGCATCATTAACTACCCCTCCTCATCTTTCAACTGTGATCGTGTTAACTGATACTGCTTTAAAGGTTCCCTTCCCATCAAAGTTGACTTGTTCTTCATTACGACAAAAAGATAAGTGTTAGGTGATAGGAAATAAAGTTGAGAAGAGCATCATATATTTTGTCTACACCAAGTCCCAAAGATTTTACGATCTATTCATTTAGGATGTTAAGCTCTCTAAAGTGAGAGACTCAGTCTTTTACTTTTCTGTCTCTCAGAGCACCTAGCACATAGCTACTCTGACCATATTTTCCAAGTAAAAAATCTACAACGCATTACCTGGCAAGGTCTGACAGACTGTTTAATAACAGGCCAGATCTTTTAAAATTTAGACCTATGTCAGAGGGACCCCAAGATCACCCCTAGTTCAATAATTCCCTAAAATGACTCATAAGACTCAGCATACAGTCCTACTCATGGCTACCAGGACAAACTCCAAGAAAAACCAGGCATGAGCTTTTAAGAGTCTTCTTCCAGCAGACTGCGGGAGGCACTTAATTATTATCTCAGTAATGACTTAGCAATACCCATGAAATATTGCCAAAGAAAGGAAGCTCTTCAGGGACTCAATGCCCAGGTTTTTATTGGTGGCTAACTAACATTAGCATAAGCATTCCCTGTCTGGCACACACCTAAATTCCAGAATCACAGAAAAAACGTGGGTGTTCACATAAACCATATTATTTGTATAAACAGTTTACACACAGCAAGCCACTGTTGTCAGCTAATGGAGGGGATCTTCCTGAAATCTAAGTTCTCAGACGCTAGCCAAAGCCAACCTTGCAAACAGGCCTTTTCAAGAACAGCAGTTTAGGCTGCTATGTTAACTCTTTTCTACACAAGGACTGTTTCAGAAAATCCAAGAAAGACGAATAATAGCTCTACTATTTCACCTCTTAATAAAATCAAATCTTCCTTATAATTTCCCAATCTTTTTTCCAGAGGTGACATCATCATCCCAGTCACCCAGAATCCAAACCACAGTATCTTTTTTACTAAGTAGATCTAGATACATATTAGGTCTTATTGTATATTCCTTGTAATGCTTCTTAAATTCATCATTTCCTTTGTGTTTCCATGGTCATTAAAATAATCAAGGCTCTTATTAACTTGTCTTAACTGCCCTCACTGCCTCCAGGATTTCTCTCTGATATATTTTACAAGTTCCTACCACATTCATTTGGAATTGCTTTCATTACTCCATTCAAAATCCTTCAGTGGCTTTCAAAGATTGCCAAACTTCCTAGTAGACTTAGACTACCTTACAGTTTTAACTCTCCTACACATACCTTGTAGTCCAAACTAAACTGAACTCCCTGTTGTATAACAAATAGATAATGCACTCCGTCTCGCCTCAACTTTTTTTTTCCTTCTGAGACAAGAGTCTCACTCTGCCGCCCAGGTTGGAGTGCAGTGGCGAGATCTCAGATCACTGCAACATCCACCTCCTGGGTTTAAGTGATTCTCATGCCTCAGCCTCCCCAGTAGCTGGGATTACAGGCATATACCAACATGTCCAGCTAATTTTTGTATTTTTAGTAGAGATGGTGTTTCACCATGTTGGCCAGGCTAGTCTCAAACTCCTGGACTCAAGTGATCCACCCACCTCAACCTCCCAAAGTGCTGAGATTACAGGTGTGAGCCACCATGCCTGGTCACTCCTCACCCTCATTCAAAGATATTTACTCAGCTTGCCCCTGCGCCCTGCCCCTCTCAGACATCTACCTACAGAAGTTCCACTATTTTATGCATTCATTAATCCATTCAGTAATTATTTACCGAGTACTATGTGCCAGGTATTGTTCTAGGCACTAGAGCTTATATTCAAAGGCTGGCTCAAATCCTACCTTTTCCAAGAAATCTCCCTAGGTTCCCAAAGATTTTCTCCTCCCTTCTTCTTATAGAGGGAACCTATAATATGTATATAGTCTGCCTTGAGGTGTGTGAATGTACAGATAGATAATAGCGAGAAACAGGCAGATAAGTAGATGGATAGCTTTCACAGATATTTGATACTCCCTCTAGATTACAAACACCTGAGTTTTATTTTTATGTCCATTTACATCAGCAGTACTTAGCAAAGTCCTTTACATAATTTCAATAAATATTTGTTGATTTAATTCCATAGTCTTTAACCCACATTGAATTATATCCAAAATCCTTATTCCAGCACTTAACACACATCACCATCTAACCTCAACTTAGAATTTCTAACTTTATGTCCGTCCCAATGTTTCTCCTTCATGAATCGTCTATTCCAGGCAACTTCTCTACACGTTATCCCTTACAAGCACCATGAATTGTCCTATCTCCATTCTTTTTCTCTTGCTCTAACACTCTGCCTTCAAATGCCCAGTTCTTCTCTTCCTATAGGAATTATCAAAGCCTTCAAAGCCTCCTACAGTTTCACCCTACTACCCAAAATGACCTGACTGTGTAGAGCATGACAACCTTCCTTCCAAGTCTGAAATTTCGTTGCATGAACATATGCTTCTCATTTTCTTCGCACATATTTTTGACTATATTTTCAGAAAAACCACCATGTTACAAAATTTGCATTGGCCAGTCCTGATTAACACATCCCCACAGTTGGATGTGCTCTTTCACTCTCAAAAGTGTCCCAGTATAGATGATTATTTACATGGTCATATTACTTATTAATGTCTTTCCATTTATGTGTTTAATCTCAACTAGATTTTAAGTATTTTGTAAGTAAAAGTCTGTTTCATCCTTTTTATAACCCTTTCAACTTTCAATCAATATTTGAATGAACAAGTAAAATAATGAGGCAATAAATATACCTCACTAAAATAGGATAGTACAATACACTAAAAATACATAGAAAATTCAAAATTGAACAATGCACATGAAAATCCATAAAAGCCAGTATTTAACATACTATCTACTCTCTAGTCTTGTTTTCTTTAGTCTCACATCTTTATTCCCACCCCTACTTCCTGCCAGCACTTAATGTGCCTATCATACTTTGCCTTTGGCATACTGTTCATTGTTTCCAAATGGTGACGTCATTCCTTGTCCTGAGCTACTCTTTGAGCATTATTTCCCATTTTTAGCTTGGACAAAAATAATTCGAACAAACCAGAAATGCAAATAAATGCAACCAAATAGGCAATAATCGATTCTTGAGTTTCACTCTGTTGCTCAGTCTGGAGTGCAGTGGCGCCATCTTGGCTCACTCCAACCTCTGCCTCTGGCTTCAAGCGATTCTCATGTCTCAGCCTCCCAAGCAGCTGGAATTAGAGGCATATGCCACCAGGCACGGCTACTTTTTTGGAGACAGGGTTTCATCATGTTGGCTATGCTTGTCTTGAACTCCTGACTTCAGGTGATCCACCCGCCTCAGCTTCCCAAAGTGCTGGGATTACAGGCGTGAGCCACTATGCCAGGCCCAAATCTATTCTACTTTTTAAATCATAACATTTAAGATGTTAAACTTCAGTTACTCCCCTATACTACTGGTAAGAGAATTCCATGTTTACCAAATATGTAACTGAAATATCGTTCTGTTGATTCCTCATTTTTATTTGTATATTTACCAGAGAGAAAACTAAAACTCACCCAAATTCAAAAAACCCTAAAGTAATACACTGTGTTATCAATCTTTAAGGGAGACTTACTTTTCAACTTCATCTGGTTTTTCAAAAAACAAATTATCCAAGGAAAACAAGCAATCATTTGATTTCAGCATTGTTGAAAACTGGACTTTGTCACCAATCTACAAAATATGGAAAAAGTAGTTTATAAAGATGCAGAAAAATATTTCTGTATAATCACTAATTTTTCACAGTCTCCTGTGAAATATAAACAAAGACTATCCTTCCAGCTTCATCATCTGCAACTTCCTTCAAAGCACTTCAACATTCAAATACATTATTCTCTGTTTTCCACTCATTCATGGATTCAAACTTGCTCCCTTCTCTTCATAGTGCTCCAATGCTTGGAACGTGCTTTCTTCCATTCTCCAACTGGCAAATTCCTCCCATCCTTCAAGGTATAGGTCAAATGTCATTTCTTCTTCAAAGGCTTTTCTGAATTTGTCTTCTTTCTCAAGGCAGAATTAATTAGTCTTCTTGGGCTCTTAATATTTTGTTCACACCTTTATTTTTGAGTTAGGACAGCACATTTTATTGTGAATGTGTGTACCTCTAACAATATACTATGTACATATGCAGGGATTTGCTTCCAAATAAAGGGGAGAGATGAAGGATTATTGAAATAATATCGACAATGAGTTGATCACAGCTAAAGCTATGTAATAGGTACATGGGGTTCATTATAATATTTTTTCATATGTTTGAACTTTTTCAAAATAAAAAAATTACAAGTTTAACATACATATGCATATTTACAATCATATTATATAATGCATATACTACATATGTTTACATTCTTTTTTAAAAGATAATTTTTGCACTCAAAGATATTATCTAAACACAAAGGATAAAAACATTCAGCAATGGCCACCTTGGAACATAACAAAAATCTGGGGCTGAACAAAGATGCAAATGTGATTTTTAAAAAAAAACTAGTCTCTAGATACATACATAGCTACCATTAGAATTATTTTTCCCTGCATATTCCATTTTTTTCTAAAATTTTAAACATCAAAGAACATTCTATATGACAAACCATAAAATCAGATGAATTGCAAAACATAAATCACACTTCTGTTTCTTCTGTTTTAGTTAATACATTGTAAATTTGTCCTCAAGACAGAAACTACAATCGAAGAAATTGTATTAATGCCATCTAGTGGAGAAATACACATTATCAAGTCAGATTATGTCTCTCCAATTTTGAATCCTCCTTGATGTGAGGATGAGATACAAGTGGGAGTGATGTGGGGAAGGGAGAATGTTTCCACGTACACTCTTGACAAATGCTGCTGTATGAGAACTAAACCTATATACATACTTTAGGGCTGTTCTTACTGATATAGAATATTGTGGGGTTTTTCGCTGTTTTCGTTATTGGGTTCTTCCCCCTTCCATCTGTTTAATATAATTGCCCTCTTCATTTTTCTCTATCTATTAATCAGTTACCAACAAAAACAAGTGTAAAAATGAAACAAATTAGTGTGGTTCTACAAATGTCTAAAACAATTTAACTATACGCAAAATAGAAGCCTAGGATAATAGGGCAGGAGGTAGAGGGAGTCATTCAGAAATATGCGAAGTCTTTAACAGCTTTAAGTAAACAATTTCAGAACTTGAAAACAATTATCTGAAAAAGTACAAATGAAAATGTTAATCACGTTTTTATAGTGCCCAAAAAGTAACAAATAAAATGTTCCCTTTCTAGCTTTAGGAAAACTACGTTCAAACAAAAGAAACTTTTTCTAAAATAAACCTCACCAGACCACTTTCATATGGCTTTGCTACCTCAGAATTTAAGTCGAAAATCTTAAGGCTAACATTTACACACTTGAATACTTTCTTCCCAAAGCAACTACAAATAGACAACAAAACTACAAATTTAAAACATTTGGGAAGAAAAGTGTTGCAAAAAACTAACAAAAACCTCCTATACAAACAGCATATATTTTCAAAAGAATTTTTGATTTCTAGTTCTAGCATACAAGAATATAACTTGTTTTGGGTTCAGAATAAAAATATCGTGTACATATTTTAGTTCTTATACACTCCTATGGAAAAAAACACCCCTTATCTAAAACTGCATCTTCTCATCCTGCATTATCTTTCTTCATAGTATGAACTGATAACTAACATTATAGTATATGCTTAGTTGTTTATTATGTTTCTCCCTTTAGAGCATGCATGGACTTTTTGCTCACTTATGTGTTCCAATAACAGAATAGTGCCTGGCACACAGTAAATGGTCCATACGAATTTATTGTAGAATAAATGCATTAGCAATAACCAGTTTATAAAAATAATGTTAAATAATTTTCTGTTAACTTAGAAACTTAAAATTTGACCAATCTGAAAATGTCAAATTTTTTTCTAATTCAGGATTTATGTAAATAAAATCATGAAGGTTCTAAAAGATGATGAATTTAGCACTTTCATTATGTAAATAAATCTTTTTAAAAAAAACAAACACAGGTCCTAAAAGGGACCCTGCTACAGTTTAGTATCAGTTTGTGATGTGAGGGGATACTATTTTAAATTAATTAAAGTTCTAGGTTTAGATTCAGATTTTCTAAGTTCCCATTATTCATTATTAAAGTTTTAGTTTCAGCACGTGGCACAAAATTAGATTGCCAAACACAATAAACAAAAAGTTTTAAGTGTCTGCTCTGCTATAACCACTGTTAAAATACTTTTTGAGACTACATAATTAGCAGTGCAGACCTGCACCTTCTCTAATTATATTAATGACAATCTCTACTTAAATATTAATACAACTAGATACAATTAATCTCTAGTTATATTAACAATTCACCATTTTGTCTTCTGTAATTTTACTTATTGTATAAAATTATTGTATACAATTGTATAAAATTATTGTATTGCATACAATTATTGTATAGTATATTGTATAAACTTATTGTATAAAATTGCGGGCCTATTACTTATTTCTTACTATTTTTACTCAGAAATATACCCCTTATTTTAAAAGTACAGAAACTCAGATACAAATTATTGATTTGCTAGAAATTTTTGTGAGTTATGGAAGTCGGGACCAACATTTACGGGAATAACCGACCGTCACAAATAACTGCAGAGAATTTGACAAAGAAGGAAAAATCAACGGGAACAAATTACTCCGAGGCTCGGCCTGGGAAAGGACCATACAATTGTCGGAGCCCCAGATGTCACCCCCTCTCCCCAGGCACCAACGGGGCTGGAAGGGTCCGGCTGGGAACCGAATCAGCACCTAAAGCAAAATAACAACTCTGTGGATTTCCTAACGAGAACATCCTAAATCCAAGGCAGAGGCGTTAGGGCCTGGAGAGTGGCGCAAGAACGGGGCGCTGGGGCGCGTCACTCCATCCCCAAGTTCCCGTTTCCTCCAACCGATGTGAAACCGGCGGCTCAGAGAGAAGGGTACGTCCCCTCAAAGCTCGCTCAGGGGGCGCCACACACCAGAACACAAGACACCAAATCAGCCGACTCTAGAGACGGGCCGGAAGCACAGTCAGTTCCAGCCCGCTGGGAACTGGGCCGGTCCTGCGCGCGAGCGGGCCTCAAGCCTCACCGCTTTCTGACTGGAAACACGGCTGAGGCGCCTGGCGCCGGCCCGCGGCTTGGAGTCGGCTGGTGACCAACAACTCGCCGCGCCTGTCCGCTGCCTGCCCGGCAGACGGCTCTAGAGACCGACCGCTGCCCGGACGGCTCGGCTGGGTCCCCACTTCCCCGCAGGCGTGGGGCCCCGGTCCCCACCTTTCCCGCGGGCGTTGGGCCCAGTCCTCACAGGACTCCCTGCGGGCAGCTCCTAGGCCAGTCGAGCGCCGATTCATCAGCCCCTCGGAGGACCCTCCCGCCCTCAGCCTGGCTAAGCCGAGCTCCAAGCAATGGATCGCCCAAGCCCCCAACCGCTCCCTTCCTACCTTTTTTTCTCCAAAGTTTGTAACTGTTTTGAATATATCTCTTGCAGATTACTGTGTCTATTCTCGTTAAATACAGCTCCTAATCCTGGGTTCTAAGGGTCTTCTAAGTGGTACCCTTTCCCTAAGGGTACAACAACTACACAAACACACCCCAACCTGCCTTTCTCATAAAAATTAGCCAGGCCTTAGCTCTAGGATTTCCAGGCTCTCCGTACCTGAGCAGTGTTTTACCTATATTATTTATAAAATATAATAATGGCACTCATGAGGTCCGTATTACTGAGGAACTTGATTCAGAAATAAAGTTAAATTTCAGAAATAAATGTTCTAAAACACAATGATCTTTGAATATGTTTAGTCAACATGAATTTATAAAAACAGGGCAATAATGTGTTCTTAGACTTAAAACATGAACAAACTATAAGTTATCCTTTTAAGTTTCTTTAGAACTGTCCTCTGAAGATTTGGCAGGGAATGTTTTGTAGATGATAAAATAGCAACGAATCAATGTTGCTTTTCTTGCAGAGACATTTATCCTTCCTTTGGAAACCCCCACCTGTGACATCTAGGGTCAACCTACTGCTGTCTGACTGCCCTATTCCTGTTCTCTTTTTTCCTTGCAGCTCTACTGTTAATTAGCTGTATGACCTTGGAAAAGACCCAACCTTTAAGTCTTAATTCTTCATCCTCAATGATACTAATAAGCTCTACCTCCTAGATACTGCTGCAAGGGTTAAATAAAAGAATATTTGCAATAGTCCTACCACACAGTAAATGCTCATGAACATTACTTTCTTTCACCTTCGCTGAGATGTAAAATTATTCCAGTAATTGGATAGGACAGTTATTTGGATACTGATAAAATAATAAGTCTTTGTCTCTTGGAGAAAATAACATTTTGACTGCATAAACTATTCTTAATAGAAAGGTTGAATTATCATTCCTCTCAAAAATACTGGAGAGGAAAGTTACTTTCCATAGGCTGCATAGAGGAAAATAACAAAACCGTGCATTTGCTATAGTGAACCCCCCAGTGTGTTGAAATTCATACGTTGAACTCTAACCCCCGATGTGATGGTATTTGGAGGTGGGACTTTTGTGAGGTAATTAACTCACAAGGGTAGAGCCTTCATGAGTAGGATTAGTGTCCTTTTAAGAGGCCAGAGAGTTAGTTCGCTCTTTTTCTGGCATGTGAGGACACAGGAGGATGGTATCTGCAAGCAAGGAAGGAGGCCCTCACCAAATACTGGATCTGCCTACACTGTGATCTCGGACTTCTCAGGCACCAAAATTGTGGAAAATGTTTGTTGTTTAAGCCGCCCAGCCTATGGTAATTTGTTATAGCAGCTTGAACTAAGATAGGGTTTGAGTGATAGAATTGTAGAATTCAGTAACAAGCAGGTATAGGGGGAGTCTTACTGTCAAAGCACACAGTAGTAAATGGCCACCATGTTCATAAACAAAAACATTCATTCATTCATTCACTCATTTATTCAAGAATGCGTGGGGAATCTATAGAGCCTTACCTTTCTCTTAAAATGATGTAATAAAAAATGTCAAAGCTTCAGTTTTTAAAAGGAAGCCTCAGGACGGTGATAAAGTTACTAAAAATCCCATTTTGTGGGGAGAGATTGCCATGGTTTTTAGTAATGTTGCCACATTTCTCAAGAAAACATTTTAATCCTAAAGATTTAGTTTTACAACCAGTGCAACAACATTATGAGCAATCCTCCAAATTGAATAACATAACTAACATTTGAAATATAGTCTTCCCAATCAACTTCTGGCATGACAGCGTAAAGAGCTCTGCTATCTCACTTCTCAGTGAAACTGGTGAAAATTCTAGAAAAATGACTCAGACCCTCTGGAAATGATCCTAAGGGCAAATAGCAAAAGAAGAAACATCTCTTCAAGTAAGAGTTGTAAAAATTTGGTAAGAAAGGCAAGGGTCTGTGGTATTTTATCCAAGACTCCCAAGTCCCAGCTTAGCGAGACAGTCTCCATTCTAGACAGCTGCAGCCAAGAATACAGAGCTCTCTCTGCACCCAGCTTCCACTAGAAGGTGTGCTTTCTTTCTTTCATTGTGGTAAAACCTGAATAATATTTATAATTTTAACCATATATAAGTGTATAAGTCAGGGACATTAAATACACTCACAATGTTGTATAACCACCACTCTTATCCATACCCGGAACTTTTTCATTATCCCCAGTAAGAAATTTGTGCCCATTCAGGGAGGGGAACATCACACACTGGGGCCTGTTGGGGTGTGGGGGGCTGCTTGGCAGGCTGAGGCAGAAGAATGGCTTGAACCAAGGAATTCCAGGCTACAGTGAGCTGTGATCCCACCACTGCACTCCAACCTCGGCAATAGAGCAAGATCCGGTATCTAAAAAAGCAAGAAAGAAAAAGAAAAATTAGTGTTGGTGGCTCTAGAGAAGCAGGAATCAAGAAATGTTGAGGTTTCAAGACTATTTTTCTGCAAGTGACAGCCAGAAATGTGTTGCGTTTTTTATTGTCAGATTTGGACAAGAAACTATGAAGAGATCATTTGGGAAGAAACTGAGAATTACAAAATTAATTTCTGAGGGAAAAAAAAGGAAATAAAAGTAGTTTGATATGATGGGATTCTCAGGAGGAAAGAAAAGTTTAGGGAGTTAGGCCCAATTCAGTAGATACTTAAATAACAAAAGGAAGACTGAATTAAACACAAACCAAAAAAAGATCTTTCTGTCCTTTCTTTCTTTGCTTTCTTTCTTTCTTTTCTTTTTCTTTCAGTTTCCCTTTTACTTTCGCTTTCTCTTTTCTTTCTTTCTTTCTCTTTTCTCCATTCCTCCCTTCCTCCCTTCCTCCCTTCTTCCCTTCCTCTCCTTCTCTTCTTCTCTCTTTCTCTCTTTCTTTCTTTCTTTCAACAGGGTCTTGCTCTGTTGCCCAAGCTGGAAGGCAATTATGTGATGGCTCACTGTAACCTCATGGCTCATCGTAACCTCAACCTCCTGGGCTCAAGCAATCCTCCTGCCTTAGCCTCCCAAGTAGCTTGGACCATTGGTACATACCACCACACCACACCCTGCTAATTTTTTAAAAATTATTTTTATTTTTTGTAGAGATGAGATCTTGTTATGTTACCCAGGCTGGTCTCAAACTTGTTATCTCAAGCAATCCATCCACCTTGGCCGCCCAAAATGCTCAGATTACAGGTGTGAGTCACCATGCCTGGCCAGGATAATTTTTCTTTAGGAAAGATTTAGTTAGTATCTATGTAACCGAGAACATAATGACATAAATTGATTAGAAAGCAATTCCTTGAGTTCCAAATGGCTAAGGAGAGTGTTTAATGGTCTTGTATAAGATCGTATACTCATATTTCAGAAAATCTGTTTTTTTCTCTTTTCAGGCAGAAATTGACTCCTCCCACCAAAATGAATTTAAAATATCTTCTGCTCTCCAAAGTCAAGAATGTTGATCCTAATAGAACTGCCAGACAGGGTGTTCCAATTAGGCCTAGAACCAATGCACCATAGAACCACAGCCAGCTAAGATATATTACAAAGAACATAAACTTTCCATAGAAATCAGTTAAGAAAGATTCAGCATTCAATGGCTATTCTTTGTACTTGACTGTAGATTCTAAAATGTGTTAACACAAACCCTGAACTAGGAAGCAAACGTCCCAGTACATAAACTTGAGGAAAAGGGGAATTATTCTGTACCAGCATAGATTATTTCCTAAGTAAAAATTAATGCCAGTTTCTTCAGGAGAAATATGTGGGGACTCATAACCAGTGTATGTGTATTTTATGGTTAGTTGTATTCAGGTTTGTGAGGCAAACTATAGATACTTCACATTGGGCATACTAGGTTTAGTCATTCTTAGCAAATTCTTTTGCCATTGTTATAAAGTCCCTGTATAAATAAGAATTAACATATTCTTTCAGGTGGTTGGTGTCTGGAGTAGACTTTACCTGAGCATTATAATTAAGAATCTGGCATCCAGAATCTTATATAAAATTGTATTAATGAAACATGCAACATAATTTATCTTCAAAAAGATTATTTAAAGGAACTTTCAGAAGCCACTGGCAGATAGCTTTAAAAGATATTTAAATGTCAGAAATCAGAGTAGAAAACATACTTTTAAAAAAGCATTTTTCTTATGTTTTGTTTCGTTTTTTGTCTCAGGCCAAAAACTAATTGGCAGGATCTTGCAGCCATATGATCAAAGATTCATTATTATTATATATATATGTTGTCCAGAAATAAGATAGTTTCTACAGGTGATATAATTTTGTAGTTAATCAAGAGATATTGCAATGGTACAAATAATCAGTTAAGATACTGAACAAATTGATGTGTAGACAGAACAAGAAATCAGAAACACTATGTAGAAGCAGAAATAATGCATTTGTCTGGAATTCTTTCCAGGAAACAGGGAGAGGGAAGAGATGCTATCACAACTGGCAGATGATTATTCATTTGTGATATATGTTGAGTTAGGATGCATTTAAGCATGGGTTATCTCATGTTTAAATTTGTCAAAGCATGGAGAATGTGTAGTACATACAATAGCATATATTTTAGCATCTCAAGTGATCCTTGGAACAAAGTTGAGAGTGCTATATACATGTCTACCCAGAGTCT